TATATATATATATACACACATATTAAAGCTTAAACATTTAAAGATGATATTTCGATAAAAAAATTAATCATTATAAAGGGTTTTTTGAGTAGTAGGAAACGTACTTTTGCACGCAGGATGAAAATAATGTAAAGATTTGTTTAATAATGTATTGACATTAATGTACATAATTAAACAGCCTATAACTTTTATTTTGGTAAATAAAAATGTAGAAAACAATGCTAAAATCAAATAATATACATTAACAAGAAGAAAAATATTATCTACTTTTATCACTCTATTTTGAAATAATAAAAACCCCTAGTGATTTTTTTGATTTATTTATCCTTGGAAATATTAATACGATCACAATTAATTTTATTTTCAATCAATTCGACTTGTCACAATTCAATTAAATAGCTGCTTAAAAAAGTTTTATAACTAAACAAATTATTCTAACTTGTTTTTTTTTTTTTTTTATATTTAAATATAAATAGGAATTATTGAAAAGTATTTAAATAATTACACTACATCTGTTGAATACAACATGTGATCTTTGATTTATCAAGAAGGAGGTTTACCCTATTTACAACACATTTAAAAAATATGTAAATTTATACATAATGTTAAATATAAGTAAGTGGTTTTAACGTAGACATACAGTGGGATTGAATTTTTTTTAAATATTTTTTTATTGTTTTACTTTCTTATTTTTTTATTTTATTAATATAATTATATATTTTTTTTGCTTTTCAAAACATGAATATGTTGTAAAATGTCAAGGGATCGACTTTTAATAAAATATTCATCACATTAAGATATCTCTACTCTCTTTTTAAATTTGGCTGCCAAGATGGATGATTTATTTCTTTTCCAGGATAATAATTAAAACATTTAATTTTTATGATTTAATTGATAGTCATTAAAAAATACAATTGTTCAAGGTACAATATAGCAGCCTTTTACGATGTTTTTTATTCCTATTTTCATAATTAATAAAAATTTCTGTACGATCAATAAGGAATGTTCTTAGTTGAACTCTTCAAATATTACAGTCATTTTTTTGCAATCGAAAGGAAAATTGTTCAAAAAACACTTCTCGAGAGCATAAAAGGAGATAATACATTCAAAGCAGCATAACACCAGGGATGTTGTAAAAAAAACATGTTAAAATTACATAAAAGAAATAGTCTTTTAGGAAGACAGTCAGTTTAAAAAAAGTCATTTGAGTAACACTTTTGTTTAAATTTTTAATTTCTATAACAATTGTTTTATATTACTACAGGCATTTAATTTTTCAGTTGTTGAATAAAAAATAAATTATACTAAATTTAATTGATGTCAAATCACTTTTCATACAATCCTGGCAATGATATGCTACATTTGATGCAATACACGGATGTGGTATAGAGGTGATGTAAATAGAAAAAGTTAGAAATACAACACTGAAAAGCATCAACAATTTTTGTTACACTTTTGCTTCTTAAAATATAGCTAAATGTTTATATGAAATATTTTTTTGTCCACAAAAAAAGTAAAATATAAAAGGAAATTCGACAAGGAATATTTCACAAATAAAAATATCTTGGCTTTTTTACAATTTAAATAGTAAAAGGCTTTAACAACAACAATACTTAGACAAAAATATATANCAAATTCCTACACAACCCAAACATCAACAAAGGCAAAACAACTAGTTTAGTTAATAATTTATAATATCTTATTGTTCCAATGGGTTTATAAGAATATGGAAACATTTATTTATTGTACATAAATTATTGTAAAAATAAGAAAAAAAAGCTCTGCATAAATAATTTAATTCTTCATCAAATTTCCTTTTTCTTTCATTACTTAGGAGACTGTTAAAAACATAATTCTTTATCTTATATGCACTATAAAAACAAAAAGTTAATTAGAAACATAGGACAAAGGCAGCACTTACAAAGGAGTCTATAGTGTATTTACATCATAGGTTTTTTAAATATAAGCAAGCTAAAATATTAGGCAAAATCGTGTGTGATACAAATATTGCCTACTTGTGCACCATTTCAGTAGATACAATTATATAATAACAGATTTTAAGAGACTAGGAGGTGTGTGCATATGTGCGTGTGGGTTTGTTTTTGCGTGTCATCTGAACGTTGATTGTACATGTGCCCGCAAACACTCCATTGTCTGCCTTTCGGACAGACACACACACACAAATACACACACGCGCGCATATGTTATATTAAAATTATATCTACAACATTTTCAAAGACTTCTGTACACATTTTAAATTTCCAAATGCCTGAAGCATTTTTTTTTTGTCACTAACTAAGCTATACAAAACTAGACATGTGAAAAATAAACAAATTATCAATTTTTATATTACATTAATTTACAGACTGGTTAAATGATGTAATTAAAATCATTTGGCTTGGTAAGGGACTGATGAAACAGCAGCAGCATGTTCTGTTGCTAGTACAGCAGCTGAAATAAAAATAAAATTATAAAACATTATAATTAATTGCTACAAATAATACTAAGCGACTAATTAACACGATATGTTTTCAGGCTAGACACACAATTTTCATATGCATCATCAATTTCGTGTTACTGGGGAGTGTGCATGGTTGGGTTAGAAGCAGGTCGAGTTAGTAATGGCTAGCGATAGGGTTAGGGAGAGGTTATTTAAGAATTGTTAGGGACGTGCTAGGTTCGGTTTAGGTAAGGAACAGCCAGGTATGGGTTAGGGACAGGATAGGTTAGGTTAAGAAATGTTAGGTTTGGTTTGAATTAGGTTAGAAATGGTTAGTTTTGGGTTGGGGGCATGTTAAGTAACGGTTAGTTTTGGGTTAGGAACAGTTGAGTTTGGGATAGAGACAAGTTAAGTTAATAGTAAGGTGGGGTTAGGTTAAGAGATGTTAGATTTGGGTTTGAGTTAGGGCTAGGTTAGGAATGGTTGGGGACAAGCTAACTTGGATTAGGTAAGGTTAGGTTGGATAAGTATTAGGGACAAGTGAATAGTAAGGTTTGGGTTAGCAATATTAGGGACAGGTTAAGTATTAGTACCTATTGTCAGTAGTACCCATTAGTACATTAAGTGGATGGGTAGATTTGGGTTGGGTTAGTGTTTATGATAAGCAAGATTATTCAATGATTCAATGTTGCTCTGGGAAGAGTTTTAATGTAAGTATAAACTTCTATTACTATAATAAAACGTCTAATAATTTTGCAGGAATCAACACATCTATTTTTTATTTGTCAGAGGAAAATCGAGCTAATTACCACAACTACTTGTAACCCGATTCTGCAGCGAGTCTAGAATTTGAAGAAATAAATCTGACCCAAGAAAAACTTCAAGATGAAGTTGTCCCCAACGTCCACACATGATGTTCGTAAAAGAAAAAAATCATAATTTAAAACTGTAAAATATGAGTGGACTGCTGACAACAGTTTATTATCCCAAAGTCTAACTCTAATGTAATGTGTTACATTTTCATTTGGTGTAACTATTGACTTTTTTTTTTTTTTCCTAGGGGATAATGTAAAGAATTTACAAGAAATGGAGAGAAAAATAATATAAAAGAGGACTAAACATTTCAAGCAAACAACAATAATAAAATAAAATCAGACATTCATGAAAAATGTTAAGTTCACCATATGAATCTGAATAGTTTCCAACATTATAAAGGTTTTAACAGGATACAAGCAGAAAAAGTCAGAAGATAATCGAATACAATATGCTATACAGATTGCTTCAAAACCAGTGAACGAATTTTGAGTAAGCCCAAAATATGAACAGTCAAGCTCATTAAGGACTATCACAACCAAAACTTTGAATCTTTGGTAATATGTTACATGACTTTCCAAGTCATGCGGGTAAAGTATTTAAAAAGCCATTCTACTTCTATTCTTATCGACACACATATACATTATTTCCCCTTGCATCTAGATTTTAAAATTGAAAATACAAAAATAGTATCAAGGATATAATAATAAAAATATGGGCAGTTGATAGTTCAAAGAACCATCAGCAGAACAAATAATACAAGTACAGAGATTATCTGCCTACTTTCGAAGAATGTTTTGGTCAGATTTATTTCACATTATGCCATTTCAGTAAATCAACTGCTAACAGGTGATTGATGATGTGCAGACCACTCAAAAAATGTCACAATAAAAAATAATTTAGGGAAAAGTAAAAATGCATAGATATCTTAACAAGAATCAAATTTTGGCATGTAGTTTATTAGGTTGTCATAGGTGATAGTTTGAATGCATATAAAACATTTAATTAAATCGGTAAAGTTGATGTTAGAATAATGAATATGATTTTTTAACAATTAGTTGAATTGTAGATAATATAATTGTATGATTCAAGCTAACAAGGCAACGAACAATGGACATGGGATCACCAATTTTAATGATTATTTTGTGATAAGTAAAAACTAATGTGTCTGAGCTTTCATACCAATGGGCCAAAGGAACTAAAAGAATATTTTTTTTACATATGGGTTTCTGTCTTTGCTGTGCATGTATTTCAAGGTGATTATGTATAAGTTGACACAGTTGTTTTTTTTACCTAGGACAATAAAATAATTTATGTTAATATATTTTTTAGATATATAAAAAGTTACAAAAACCTTAAAGTAGTCTGATTTGTATTAAGCACTTTTTAAAGCTATAAAATACAAATTTTCATTGCTACAAAAAATAGACAATCTAATTTGCAAAAAAACATGGAAAAATAAAATTAATTTATGGGCGAGCAAACCTATTGAAATGCGTTAACAATTATTTTTTGACCAAGTGATGTGGCCAAGTAGGGTCAAATATTTTTTTACCAAGAAACAAAGTTGATATTCATTTTCTACACCCTAAAAAACCACCCAAACCATAAAAATTTGCACTTAAGAGCTTTAAGGGTGCTTAAAACTATTCTGAATTGTTTTTTTCTGAAAAGAAATTTTTTTGGCCTACTTTACTGAATGAGTCTTTGGGTTTTTGAAATTTTTTATATAAAGCATAAATAGTATGACAAACTTTAAGGGACGATAAAATTTTGTACGTTATAAACGGCATTCACTCTAATCGATTTATCTGAACAGTTCATCCAATTAATAGGCACATATGTTTATAGCAGAGCAGTTTTCATTATATAAGTAATTATACAATTTATCCAGGTTTATGAAGAAGTATAAAATACATACTAACCTGCTAAAGTAATTTATTTATATAAATGTTTTTAAAACATTAATACATATATATGCATGTGCAAATGTAAATGGAGTTATTTGACTGCAGTATCATTGTAGTATGTGATCTGTTATCTTTTTTTGGCCCGTATTTTTTTAAAACTTTATGGACTTATTAAATTTTTTTTATTATTTTCTATTAATTCCCCATATTTTGGAAGGAGATATCTCCATTTCGCTTGCGACACTGCTCTCACAACCTCCCAATTCAATCCGACAAATTATTTTTCCTCAATAGAAGAGAGTAAGGTCTTTTTGCAGCTGGGGTTACTTTTGCGAGCTGTTCCCTATGTTTTTCCTTATGACATTTCACAGGACTAGAAATTTTGTATGTTATGACTGGTCGTTCTTTATAACCTGTGTCGTTATAAACAGTTTCTACTGTACATGTCATCTCATTTTATATGATCCTGCATATTATTAATAGTCTTACTATCCTAAGTTAAAAAACAAATGGTATGATATATAATAATCTTGAAATACAGGCTTACTTCGCTCCTAGGATCTACTGGCAAGAATTTGGACACGCATCTGATAATTTTTGAAGAAAAAAAATTCTATGTTTGTAGCCTCCACTTATGAGACTAATCACTGAAAATCTGAATCCACTGCCCAAATATAAATGCTCCATTAATGAACGAATCAAAATTTATAATTAAATGGGTGTTTTTAAAAAACAATGTCTGGATAATTTAAGAGTGCTTTTAACACTAGGTTTTGGAGTATATAATTTAAACATTTTGCAATTATTTTTGGTCTGTCATGAACACCAAGTCATTCGTTACCTCTGATAGTTTTGGCTTTATTAACACAACCAAATCAAAAACAGGCTTTCTCTAAAGGGAAATATTTATAAAAGAAGAATGAAAATCTTGCATGGAATGGTAAAAAAAATTATGGTTTAAAGAATAGTATTATAAAAAATGCTTACAATGGATCGAAATATTTCAGATGAAGAACTGAAAGAAGGATAAAGATCAAAATCATATGTAGCATACCCAAAGAACAGAGTTATTCTATCTGAAGTTAATTTCATTCCAACAGACCAAAAAGAACATAAAATACAGTGATTAAATATTCCAACGCTCTTTGAAATTACGTCTGTAAAAATTAGATAACTAATAAAGTCGAGTGTTTGTTGGAATGATTTTTCATTATATAATACTAAGACAAGAAAGTATAAATAAATTTAAAGGAAAAAGTTAATATATACCTACTATGGCTCGCTCAATGAGGCTGATGTAAGTTAACATATCCCTAAGTAAATAGGGAATGAACTAATGTGGCTTACCTCCATAAGGAGCAGGATATTGGCCAGCTAATATAGGATAACCGAGACCAACGTGTGTGTGGTGATGGGTGTGTACATGTCTCTGAGGAGGGGGAGACCTGCTGCTGTCTTTATTCTCAGATCCAGTGGGTTTGGTCTGAACTTGTATTGACGGCGATGTTGTCACTGGGACTGGTGTAGACCCGTTTGGAGCTGATGAAGGAGATGATGTGGCTGTTGACACTTTAGGAGTAGGCGATTTTATCGCTCTCTCCTGCAATTCATGTATTTTATGAGAAGGGTGTGAATAGTACTGGCTAGCATGATGCTGCAATAAATCAAGAGCTTTTCCACTTTGAGATCTAGATAAATCTTCAGGTGCGTACCTTGGCACAGCATGTAATTGTGGGTGCAGATACGGCGAATTTGGATATCCGGATACGAGCATGGGATTCATGCCTCGATACATTGGATGGCTTGGATCAAAGGGTAACGTCCCATAGTGAGGGGACTGCATATAACCCGGATGGATATAAGCGTACTGTGAGGTCGGTGGTGGAGGTGGCCCTTGAGTTTCCATTGTCGGTTTAACACCTTCTTGTTTCTTTTCATCTTCTCTTCGTTCCTTTTTTTCTTCAGTTTTTTCCTTGTGCTTCGGTCCAGGAGAAGGTAATGTTTTAGGAGGAGGCGGTGTCGCTTTTGTCGACCCACTCTCTTTTCTATCCGGGTACAAGTAATACCTACCTACGTCTTGTCCCTGCCTTTGAAATAACATACCAGGATTGACCTGGGCTTTCAACTCTATACTTTCTTTGAGAATTTGATGGTTTTCATTTTGATGTTTTTCTTTAGAGATACCCATTTCTGTTTTGGGCTTAGAAGGGTTTGGAATGTGCAATGTATTATTGGTTATCGGTTTGCTATCTGAAGTTGGTATATTTTTTTCTTCTTTCTTATCATCTAAAACGACAGGATAAGAATCCACATTATATGAATACCCTGGAAGATGATATGCATACTGGTAATAATGAGGTTGAATCATCTTTTGGGAGAATTCACCATTACCTTCTTTTTTATCTTTATCGACCGGCTTACCATCTACTTTTTCAGACCCTTGATCTTTAGATTTAGTCTCAACCGAAGGGACTAGATACGGAGGCTGCCCATAATAGGGATACATATTGAAATGTTGCAGTTGTGGTGATTGTCCCGGATCTTTTTTATCACCTGTCGTTTTAGGTTTTCCTTCTACTTCAGATTCTAACAATGGAGCAGCATCATCGGATATGTCTGAATATGCAGGAGATTGTACTTCTTCTCTGCCAGTTTCGATACCCAAAGAGGGCGGTTCAATAGGGCTAGGATGGGGACTGCCTGCCGGCGATTTTCTGTTGTTCTTTTTCTTACTGCTTTGTTGTTGGTTTTTATTAGAGGATGTAGGAGGAGACGCCACGGGCTTCTTGTCATCTGGCATGAGCACAGCAGTTGTCTTTACTTTAAACTGTTGGACTTTTGTTAAAATTGGCGGCTGTAATGATACGTTTATATGTTGTTCGTCTTCAGATGGCGAAGGGATCAGCACTGGAGGCGTCGGAGCACGCGTTAAGGGAGACGTCGGAACAGTATTTACTCTCAAACTAGATTCATCGGTAAACCTGATCCCAGTCTTTTCGTCAGGTTCCATTACAGGTTCCTCACATAAATTTGGCGGAGGTATATCTATCGGTTCGTCTTTCTTAATATCAGGCATAGGGCTTTGAACTTCCTCTTCCGACGTTCCTGATTCTTTGGTTTCATCATCATCCGGAGATCCATGAGCGTGTGACTGATGGTACTTCAATCCGTTGATGTGCTTATATTTTTTGGAACAATTAGGTTCTGGACACTCTAATAGCACTGGCGGCGGCAAAGGACTAGTAGGTTGAGAAGGTGGAACTTTCTTTTTCAACGGAGGTTCTTCCTCGTGGGTTTTGGTTTTCCTTTTACCCGGAGTGTCACTCTTTGGAGTGGCAAACGGTGTGGGACTAGCGGCTCCAGGGCCCCTTCTACCTTTAGGCCCTGAAGAATTATTACTTCTAAGTTTGCTATGTACAGAGCTCCTCGTTTCAGTAAAGTTACTAAGGTCGTTCAGATTAGAATGAGCCGCACTTCTTCCTCTCTTACCACGACCTTTTGGGGTCCTTAAATCCAAATCACTCGTAGGAGAATCACAAAATCTAAAAAAAACAACCAAAAACATCCAATTAATTATTTATTACAAACTAGTAATTATTTTAAAGGAATCATTAGGTGTACCTGGGCGGTGCCCAGTCATGCCGTGTACAATCGAGTAATGTACCGACGTAGGTCTTCCCCCGCCATGTCACATTCACCACCAATACACCTGGAACAAATTTCAATCATATAATTTATAATATCGCTTAATTTTTATCTTATTTACATTATTAGTATGTATTATAACGGTATATATGTATATTCATAATTTCTACCCACTGACAAAAAAAAATCCTTTAACAACAACAAAGAAAAGAACACACAAATGAGCTGACTTTGTTATGTTTGTCATGTATCATAAACACCAGACATTATTTCCTGAGGATATTTTAAGTGTAGCTAGAAACAATCAAAACCATTTCCTGTTATTACTGTCCGACAAGTTTACAGAGAGTATTTCAGCATTAATTGATGAAGGAAGGATTGTACCCGAATACAATCAACATTGAAAAGTCAATTATAACGACAAAAAGCTTTAGAAATTGAAAAAAAAATTGTCATTCCTGCCATAGTACAATAGAAAGAATAATTGTGATTTGTTTTACACTGACATTACTAAACTACTTCCAACATTATCTGTTGGACATGCACTGAATCTCGACAATACAATTTTCAACAGAAAAACACCCAGAAGGCTGCTGAAAATGTATTTTCAAAAATGCACTTATAAAAAGTTTAGAGAAAATTATCATTCCTATCAATCAAACCAATAATTTTAAGTCTGCCTTCATAATTATTCGCAAATTGTCACAAAATATAAGATTGGAAATTAAGCGGGTTTTTTTTTTTTTTTTTTTTTTTAAAGGGAAAAATTATTTTGTAAAGAGAAAATTTGATCAGGACACCATTGGTTCTGACCCTTTTGTGACATACCGGCAGACAATAAATAAAGTCCTTTATTCAATGGGAATGCATCTCAGGATAGAGGCTTGTGGAAAAGTTCATTAAAAGACAATTGAATGTACGATTGCTGAGTGAACACTGCAGACTCCAGAGTCATACGACTTAAAGCAGCAGAAACAAAATACCCCTTGTTACGGTACCACAGATAAATTGGCCAAGAAAAGTTCAGTCAGGACACCTAACAGCCCTGCAGTTTTTACAGCATACCCCAATTTCAAAAAACATATACTATTAGACGATGTGTTAAAAATAAGTTCTTGCTTCAATCGAAATGTATCCAGGATAGAGAACTAAAAACTAACAGCAGAATTACTAAACCTAGGACGTGTCATGATTAGAATGATACAACTGCTGACTAGACACTGGACGCTTCAGAGGCATAGACTATAGATGCCTGTGCAGATATTGCAGGAAAAAAGAAACAGGAAAACAAGTCCTCTGTTAGTGTGAAAACCTTAACAAAGAGCTCTAGATAATAATGGAGATGCACAATAAACCAATATTCCGTAGATCATAAAAAGGCAGTCCTCTTAACCTTTAACCACTGTGTCCTGGGTACTCAGGAACCACTATAGTTACTGACTCGTGCCAAGGATTAGGCCCAACAACCCAGACACATTTCGACATCACCTCACACATAAGGTATATCTTTCAAGTGCTGCCCAATTGTCAGAGAGGATGGATTCACTTAGCCAGAGTCGGGGACTCGGTCGACTAGAAGACTCATCCCAATTAAGTCGAGGACTCAGTTCAGAATAGTAAGCAGCAACACTCCGTCTAGGATTCAGTGAAAGGACTCAGTCAGCAGAATACAGTCGATTGTCGAGGACCTGTAAAACTGCGAGAAGAATCCCAAGAGTAGAGTTGTGTTTGTTTATCACCATATCAGTGTAACAATAAATGTTTATGAATCTCTCTGGTTATTGTACTTTTTGAAACCTGCCTTCACATTAGCACAGAAGATAAATCACAGAGCATAGGCTCCTGCTTATAAAGGTAAGCAGAGACACCATCATCTTGAATCACCTCAAATTGCATACTATTCCGTCATGTAAATGCTACATCTGGTAAAAACCATTATGCATAACAAAGAGCTCATAATAATGGAGACTGCTCAATAGACCAATATTAGTAGTGGTGTGTTACGCTGACTTCTTTTAACCACAACCTTAACCTTGCTAATTTTTATTCTGTGTATTGTCCATTTTATCAGTGACTTTTGGCCCATATATCACATAGCATATCAAAAATAAATTTTTTGATGTTGGAATCTAAACTGCGGCCTAAATAGATATATTGTGATACCCCCATAAACCATAGCCATACCATGGAAAGTGCACTTTTCCTATAAGACTAAGCACTTTCCTTGGTGTCTCTTTGCATACCTATTTTGGTATGGTAACTGCCTTACTGTTGTGGCTGTACTGCACCCAGGCTTCACATTCACAAAGTATATGTGCCGATGTCTATTGTTTCTTCCTGATAGAGTCGGCATGTGTCTGTCTGCTTATTTTTTAGATGAGAGTTAAGAGGCCTAAGGTACAGAGGACTATAATTTTCCTCAAATCCTGTCTGCTGAGAGAGAGGAGTTCCTTTGCCTTCTGTTTTGAGAGATTTAAAAATCTCTCTGCTTGCATCATACCTGGTGCTTTTGTTCAGTGTTGAGTTTTTCTTTCTTAAAATATTTTTCCAGTTACAACTTAAGGACACATTCTGATGCACCTAGTATTGGTTCTAGTCCCATGGGTGAGAGGATTGCCTCTTTTTTTGCTTATTGTCAGCCTATTCGTTTCCTCCCGTGCCTTCATGTCTGGGAACTTATGAAAAACTTCTTTTGTTTTCCCACAGTGATTAGACAATTTAGGTACTCCCAGAGAAGTTTGGAGTTTAAAGCGTACATTTAACTCCTTTATGGCTGTGACTGAGAGTATGTACATCTGGGCACCTTTCAAAGTTTTCTTTATTAACTCCTGTGTACAGAGTACAGAGGATTGCATGGACCAAAACTTGGGAAATTGTTGGGGTTAGCCCGAGGGACTTGGCAAGGGTGTAGTTTGGCCCCTTCACCCCCACACCTACGCCCTCTCCCTGTTTTATCTTTGATCCGGGGCCTCTTCCTAAAACTTGGAGCTACCTTTCTTCCAAAGGTATTAAATACGATCGCTTGGGAAGGTCTGCCAAATTTGACTTTTTCTCTCATTTTGTCATGTAGTGTTATAACCATCTCATTTATTGAATTCTTTCCAGAATCTTAAAGATCCTCCTCCTTAGTTCTAGTTTTATTTCCTAGTATTTCAGAAGTCCATTGACGCTCCCAAAAGCCAAATTTTTCCATTGATGTAGTGGGGCAAGTATGCTGATTTATTTATTAACTATTGATAAGTTGGTGTATTTATAGATGGCCGTCATGCGGATTCAGTATTGAACAATGAATAATGTCTAGCAAATTATTTTCACTATTATTCTAATCTGTATTGACTGAGTAACACAATAATTCTGAGATTTAAGGAAAATTTATTGTAACCTGGCAAGTATACTATTTTATACAAACTTGGCCCATATAAAATCAAACTTTCTATGATGTATACTACATGTTGGGGTTGACAGCAGGTAGGCATTTTTTCCCTGTCTTTTTTTTATGCCGCGGAAATACCTAGGGGTGTGGTAATAGAAGGGTTGAGGACGTTGGAAAATGGAGTGGGGGATCTAATCGAAATCGATCACCAAATCACCAGCCAAACGGCTGCAATTTACGCTAACTACTATTACCGTCCGTCGAGACTAAATTTCACTAGTTCCAAACTCCCAAGATTCATAATCGAATCCTTGTTACTTTATTAATCAAGGACTTTATTTTGTTGATAAACCAAAGAATATTTTTAACTACGTCTGTAGATCCGCGAGCCGCGTTCTTTAATGAAACAAAAAAAAACGACAACCCAAACAACAACCTAGCCTAAATAGAGCGACAGGGAAAGAGAGAGAGGGAGCGACAGGGAAAAAGAGAGAGAGAGGGAACGACAGGGAAAGAGAGAGAGAGAGGGAGCGACAGGGAGGGAGGGAGAGAGAGAGAGAGAGAGAGAGAGAGAGAGAGAGAGAGAGAGAGAAGGGGGAGAAAGCGACAGATTTAGAGAGTAAGAAAAGGGGGGCGACAGGGAAAAAGAGAGAAGAGAGAGGGAACGACAGGGAAAGAGAGAGAGGGGGCGACAGGGAAAAAGAGAGAGAGAGAGAGGGAACGACAGGGAAAAAGAGAGAGAGAGAGGGAACGAAAGGGAAAGAGAGAGAGGGGGCGACAGGGAAAAAGAGAGAGAGAGGGAACGACAGGGAGAGAGAGAGAGAGGGAACGACCGGGAAAAGGAGAGAGAGGGAACGAAAGGGAAAGAGAGAGAGGGAGCGACAGGGAAAGAGAGAGAGAGAGAGAGGGAGCGAGCGACAGGGAAAGAGAGAGAGAGAGAGAGGGAGGGGGGAGAGAGAGAGAGAGAGAGTAACATAGAAAACTAAGAATCTATCGTAGTTAAAAAAAAATCTTTCTATCCTTAGAGGTCATATCTGTTTCAAAGATGTTTGAATATATTAAAGCAACCAAACACAGCAAATCTGTCTGTATATTCTTTACATGAAAAAACCTTCTTTCATTAATTCTAATTATATCTTCAATCTTTCGGATTTCATGCCTTTTGAGGCGTGCCTTAAGGCTCAGCTCTTGGCCCACCGTTGTTTTTTTCTTTCTCTTTATTGAGGACATTTCAATGCTTATATTTGATGACCTTTAACTATTTAAGACTTAAGTCAAGATCTAGGGCAAGTCACGTTCAGGACCTCACTCCCTTCACAAACACTTAAACTTCATCCATTCTGCAATATATTATGAAATTGCAATTAAAGAATTATGAATTTTATGTGACCTTATTAATTGCAATTGCGCTTAATTCGGAAAATCTTTTAAAAATATTTAAATAATGTAAGTACTCTACTTCTTTCGTTTGTATCTGTAATTGAATTCTCTTCTATTTATCTGGTCTCATCATATTCCTCTCAAATCCTCAGTATTCAACTGGTACGGTTGGTTCTCCGATTATTTAAATAATACATATAGCATTCTTACAATTAAGGATTGTCTACCTTAAAAATTTAATGCGTTTTCAGGTGTACCTCAAGGCTGAGCCCTTAGTCCACTCTTGTTTTTTCTCTCTAAAGTAGGAATTCCATTTAACCTTGACAATTTGCTCTAAAGCTCTGAAAATAACTAGGTCCTTAATTCTCCACACAAATTTTTAATTTTACACAAAAATATAAACGATGAAATTACTTTATTTTTGTTCGCCTAATACTTGAATTCCCTTCTATTTGTTCTCTCCATCACTCCTCTCAAATCCCCAACATTGAACTTAGATGATCCTCAATAAATTATTTCAATTAATCACTGTCAACATTTGAAATTTCATACTTCTTCAGGTGTACCTGAAGGGTTACTTCTTGGTCCAATCTTGTCTCTTCTCGTTATTAACCTTTCAACTGCTTTCTCTGATATTTGATTATCTTTGATAATGATCTTTAACTATTTAAGATCTTTAAGTCATGACCTAGATCATATCATACTCAGGACTCTGTTCTTCACGTTTGGCGCACTTTGAATGATCTTTCTCTTATATCTCTCTAAAACGCTCTCAGGTTTGGTCTCTTCAAATTATAAAACAATTTGAACTCAAGTCCTGCACCGCTCTCCTACATTTTTTATACGTTAAAAAGGTTTTAAATGTTTTTATTCATTTTTGTTCTCTTTCTTTTCTTCTATTATAATGGATTGTTTAATTTTTGTTATTTCAAGTTTAGGTAGTTCTAATACTTACTGGAGAAAAAAACGTACATTTTTCAAGTGAGGTTTTAACTGGTTTCGTTTCATTTTTGAAAGTGACATTAATACAGGGTAGGGGAAAAAACTGAAAAAGGAACACAAATCAATATAGTTATTTTTCGGGAATAATTTATTTGAAGTAGAACTCGTTAATGAACTACACATCTCCAAAAGACATTAAAGATGGGCGAAGTTTCATTTTTGAAACAGTTCGTTTTATTGAGCTAGTTGGAACGAACTAACTAGGTAGTTCATGCTTTTTGGAGAGAGAAAAAAAAGTTGTATCCTAAATTTACTATTTCTAGGCCTTTTTTCACAATGTGTATTCAAAAAATGTTTAAAAAATCATGTGTCATTTTTTAGTACATAAGTGGTTTATTCTTAATTCTTTGAACATTTTCATAATTATTTCATTAATATTTACCTTTATTGCTAAAATACGAAACAAAAACAAAAACTTATAAAAACCAAAAAAATCTGGCAAAATTCAAAACTGGCTGACTGCTTTTAGGTTACAATTTTTAAGTTACTCAATTTCTTATTTACTTTTATTTTTTAATAATATATAATATACATGCATTATATAATACAAAAAAATAAAAATTAAAGAAACTAACAACAAAATAAAAAACATGCAGCCATAATGGCATTTTAATATATTTTTATTTTCTTATTTATGTACTTTAATTGTTAACATTTATATATGTATTTTTTTTAAATAATATAAAATGTATACATATTCCTACAATAATTAAAAAATAAATAAATATTAAAGTAAAGCGCTAAAGTACTAAGGTCTAGAAATAACAAAAATTAAACAATCCATTAAATTATTAATCTATATATATTTAGCGGTCATAATTAACGATATTAATTATTCCAGTTAATTATTCTTTTTTCTAAGATTTTGGTTGAGATGAAAAAGGTAGTGTCACGAGCGGGATTCGAACCCACGCCGCTCAAGTAGTTAGAGCATCGGCGTATTGAGCCGAAGGTCGTAGGTTCGAATCCCGCTTATGACACTAGCTTTTTCATCTCAACCAAGACCTTACATAAAAAGAATAATTAATTGAAATCCATTAAATGTTTTTCTTCTTTTTTATTATATCAGACTGTATTTTGTAATAAATCCATAAATAAATACAGCCTTTTTACAAGAGGTTAAGGTTTTTCTTTTGTACTACTTTTATGAAATAATCATTTATTTAAGGCGACAATACCGATATAGTTCAATTTACCTTCAGTTTCATGCCAGACAATCCCTTCCAACGTAACGCTGGTTCCTGGTTCGCAAGGTCCGAGGCAGTCCGGTTCCGTGATTGTTCCCACGCTGGTTCCAACACAAACATCCACCAAATCCTGAAAAAGAGAAGAAAACCCTTAATGACTTGACAGTACTTGGAAAATAAGATCAGGCCCCCTCGCGACCCGGAGGACGGGTTTAAATTCCTAATTTATTGGAAAGGTTGACCAAGTAAAAGATTGTTCATAAGGAGTTGTGTTTTGTCTAGTTTTTATTCAGCCTGTAGTATCGGTTAGAAGGTACTGCATATCCTGTTTAAACAAGTAGAATTTATTTCCACGAAGTTTTTGCGAGACGGAAGTCTTTTTTTGATGATATCTTTGCCATTTACAAAAACAACAAGCAGGTACGTGATTTTTGTACAAATTCAACCTAGCTATTTATCCCGTCGTGCTACAGAGTAAAAAATGTTTCCCCTATGGCTATAACTGACGAAATTTTAAATAATTCTCCGGAAAATGAGTAAAGGGGGCTGAAAAAACAGCTCGAATATAATTAAGGTTAATATATAATAATCAAAGTTGATAAAACTTTTTCCCAAATTTAATTTTAGCCGCAATGAAACGATCACAAATCGGTATTTAGAGACTAAAAGAAAAAAATATTTTTCGTGTATGAATTTCATTGATGGTTAAGATTAAAAAATTAAAAATAATGATTAAAAATTATTAAAATTAAAAACGTTCTGTGCAGAATATTCTAATTGCCTATGATTTGAAAAGATAAATAAACAAAATACGGTTTTTTTTGCATATTTTGATAAGCATTAATAAGCAAAGTAGGTCAGAAAATGGTCAAAATTTGGAATTGGAATCTCATTATCGTGATTCTAGGGTTGTAAAATCCTTAAATACCAACTTTCGCGGAAATCGGTGTAAATTAATTTTTTGACTAAAAATTTCGACGACCTTTGTGACTAAACTTACTTGCCGACTAAACACTTGTTTAGTCAAGCACTTGCAAGCTATAATACCATTTTTCTCAATACCTAGAAGACCGATTTTCATGGTTGATAATTCATTTTAAAGTAATTGTTAAGTGGATTTTAAAACTGTATCAAACTTTAAAATCGGACTATTATTTCCATTTAAAAAACGAGGTTTATTTAATAAATGTTTTCTTATTTTACGTATTTTCTTAAAGAAACGTTTTATATATTTTTATGATACATACGTCGTTAAAAAAGCATTCATTAAATGGTATGTTTGTCGTTAAAATCCTATTAGATGTATTTGAATTATACCCGTTCGGAAAAACTTTAGGGGTTAAAAAAATCGATAAATTTAAATTCAAACAAAAATTTATATTTAAAGGTCTCTAGAGGTCCGACAACGAAATTTCGTATTAGTTTCACGGGAAAAAATATATAACCTAGTTTAGTTAAAATATTGGTTTTTAACATTTTTTTTGGTTACTGACAAACTTCGATAGATTTTACTATATTTTTATTGCAATCTACGAAAAATGCTGTAAAATGATATGTGAAGAACAGAATTAAATTTTTTTGTTGAGAAACCGGAGCCTATCCACAAGAAGTGGCGGTGACGTGTCAGTTTATTTTGGAGTGCAGAATCACCAAAAATTTGATCAAAATCCGTGACACGCCAACCTGGTCGCCCCCTCGTTAGTTCTTCTAGAGATGTGTCGTTCATGAACTAATTCAAATGAACTAGACCCGAAAAAGAACGATATTGATCGGTGTTTCTTTTTATACTTCTATTTCAGTTTTTCCTTTTCTATCCTATATAATAATACACTTTTTTAAGAATTACATCCAACAAATGAAAACCCACATTAAAAATATAGGTTTTTTTTTTTGTTTCTCCAAAAACATAAACTATATCAACACACGAACTATCCTTAAAGGAATTACATTTTTATCGAAAAGTACGCTTTTGCCCATCTGTAAACTGAGCATACAAGCCGAAACCTTCGCAGGTTATTTTCCGTGTTGATGGAATACACTCATCCTAATACAAATACACTGGGTGTACCAGGTCTATCGGTGATATTGTGAAAGTTTTTTATCCTTTTTGACATTTCAGGACTGCTTTCGCCTATTTTGCTTAAGTTTTCATGGTAAGATTCCTTATTTGCGCCACCACCGTGATAGAAAATTTTCCATTGAACGAGTTTCGGAAAAGAAGGAAAAATCAACTGTTTTAATTTTTCCCTTTGATCGAGTTGACCTAATCGTTCTGATTGTTCAAAATTGCCATATTTCCACAATTACTCAGTGAACGGGGCCTACAATCGATGAATTACTTTTAGTCTGGAAATTTAAATCTTTCGCCTGAGTAGAAGAAACGATAACAATTCTATTATTGGAATGAATAAATTTTAGTGTTTACAAATAACTGCAAGAAAGTTTTGTAATCTTTTCGATAATACGTTTCCGAATGGGGGAGGCGATTGTCAAATCTGGCAGAAAATACTCAAAGCACCAGAACATAAAATTGGACGGATAATTATTACAGTCAAAAGACAAAAATAACCCAATTTATATTAAAAAAAAAAAAAAAAAAAAAAAACTGTTTTACTTAGATGTAAAGTTAAAATTCAGCCGATTTAGTTACCAGAAGCATCAAGCAGCATTAAGCATTAAAACCATTAAGCAGATTTTTTTTGTTATGGAATCATGCGGAATACTGGTCGTAGGGCCAATGTTTGTGTGATAAGTGGAATTTTTTTGAGGAAAGCTGACTGGAATTGTGTGGGCGGAATGGAGGAAAATTATTTTGCTCGTTTGTCCTAATAATTCTCATTTGTACATATTTAAACAAATTTGTCGTCCAATTAAAGAAATACGAAAAATCTCAGTCACAAAAAATTCTACATATATTACAGGCAGACTTCTCTCGGCAAAAGGCCACTCTCTCGGCAAAAGGCCAGAAAATGTAAAACATTTTACTCGAAAACATGAAAATTATAAGAAGACTCGAAAAAATAAAAATTATTCATAACTAAACGACAGAAAGGCACAGAAAAACGACCAAATAAAATGAAATTATATAAATTGGAAACTGACAGGTGAATACAGCGAAAACAATCGTGCCATGGGATTACAGGCCGACAATTTTTATTTCCATCACCCCCAATATACCTCAAGAAGAAATGTCCCTTTTATATTTTAATTGAAACACCATTTTTATAAATTAAAACAAACCATTCTATTGAATGACACAATTTGAAATTGTATCGAATCAAATTTCCATTATTGTATTTATATAAGATTACTTTCTTATCACTTTTGGTAAAACATCTCGTCCGATAATGTAGTTCAAAGGCACTTCATTCAATAGCGTAGTACGTTCTTGACAATACAACCCCCCCCCCTTCGTCCCAAACTGCATTCCAAACGTTTATTTAAACGGTGTTTAACCTCGTGTCTCGGGCCTGATTTAAATTTGAACATTTTGATCGTCCGTTTTTATAAAAACGTTCAAAATCGCACAGATTTTTCATCCGGGGTTCAAGACCCGATTCTCTGGGAAAATGTTCGGTGGTGGTGGTGGTGGGGGAATAAACGAACTGAAAAATGTTTCACCTTCGCAAGTTATTTTGATTACAAACTTTACAGATAAAGAAAATTTACTCTGATTGGGAATTTTTAAACATCTAACCAACTTTTCATCCTGCGTTCAAGACTCGATTCTCTGGGAAAATGTTCGGTGGTGATGGCGGGGGAATAAAAGAACAGCCAAAAAGCTTCATCTTCACAAGTTATTTTGATAAAACATGATAATAAACTTTTCAAAACATGAATTGTAATAAAAATTATTCAATTATGATGGTTTAAAAAAAAATTACCAAACAAAACACCGGAAAATAATTTATTGACAGATTACAATTGAACTAAATAACGCATACAGCTTCCTCTGGCCTCGCAGAGGGTCTTAAATCTCCTCGTTAACGAGTAAAAAGTCTTGTGAAACAGAACCTCTATCATTCGACAACAGCGATTTGAAGCTGTGGTAGCTTGTTGAAGGTGGCGAACGATATCTACTCAAAATAAGTGTTCTATAAGATTCATGTCAGAAAAAAGTGCTGGCCAATTCATTGTGGTAATTCCTACATCCCTCAAGTAATGGGAGACAACTCGAGCTGCATTACACACGAAGTTGTCCCCGATAAATGGGGGGGGGGGCGCACAGCTTCATGTACCTTAGTGCAGTCAAATATTCTGAACGGGAATGGACGTCGAATCCACCTCATACTACAACTGACTGTCTTTGGAAAGGCTGTGATTCACGCAGGCATATGAAGAAACGCGTTCTCGACGTCTTCACACAGATCTCGGTCATCTGATTGCCACACACCAAATCGGCGGTCATTTGTGAAGAGAACCATTGTTCGACTATCCAACCGAGATGCCGATTTGCGAATAATCGCCTTCCTACTCTATGCCCCTCCAATAGTAACCTGATGAGGGACGTCTAGGGACTAGGCTGTCCTCACGAAACTCGCTGATGACTGTGTTAGACCTCACCCTTACATTACGGACCATTTGGAGTTGACTAACTATGAAGGAAGCCGTTAAATGACAGTAAGAGCAATAAAGCGATCGTCTCTAGCCGTCGTATATAGCGGTCGACCACAACCTTCTCTCCGATCGAGACTTCCGGTGGCCCTAAACAGCTGTAGACCATCGCGAATGGTAGAGCGCGGCACACGCAGAACGTGGTCTATGTATAATGTATGTAAGCTACATCCTTCATTGTCCAAAGCTTCTCGACTTAAAACCATGCTTTTGGCTCTGGAAAGGATGAAATTGAACTGATTTTCTTTAATTTTAATCTAAAGAGTGAAAAAGGATTAGTAACACTCTATAAAAGTAAACATGTTGTGTTTACGTTTTAAGTCTACTATTATTATCTTTATACCTAATTATTATGTATTGGGTTGTCCGGAAAATAATGCAGGATTTTGGTATTAAACAAAAAAAAAAGAAACTAGTTACTTTAAAGCAATGTTCTTTAATCAAAATAATTTCCCATACTCTCAATACATTTCTCCCAACGTGTTGGTAACTTATTAATTCCGTCTGAGTAGAATT